GATGAGAATCCACTGAAGTTAACTGATTTGTAATATTCGATCTTTGTAAATGCTCCTGGTCAAATATCTGAAGTTTACTGATTGATAAGTGTTATAACAATCAATTATAGCTTCCGACGTTTATAGCACACTGACTATAGCAAACCAATAATAGATGCTCCTTTTTTGGCGCGTGGCGTTGGTTATATTCATAGGCGTGTGGAGAGTTTCTAGAAAATTCAGATTACGTAACAATACAAAGCTACATTAAGCGTTTACGTATACACATATATTGTTGATTCTTACTCTCGAGAATCTTCTACAACTTAGAGAATGGGCGGGAGTTTCGCAATACATATTTAAGAGTATAAGCTATGTATGTTTCTAAATATAAACTTAATCTAAACAAACGTTGATATTAATATAAATATATAATAATAAATCCGTCACAACACTGAAAGCTTCTCCCCTCCTCACCTGCGAAATTTTTGTCCTTTGGTTTTACACTGCTCAACAACATCATTGTACGTCCAACCTTTCTTGGTAAGGACAAGAACATAATTCATCAGTAATAAGTCTACTGTGGCAGTATTAAACTGACGAAAGGTCCGATATTCGCCAAGAATTAAATATATAAGTTCAACAGACGCTTCATAAAAGTTTTCAATTACTAGTAATGATGAGCAAGGTATTAATCCTAAATTAAATACAGCTCATGGGTGAAGGTTCCTGTTCATCTACTTTTTTCAATTGTTTTTAGAATTATTTTTATTATAAAGATGATTATGAATTCAGAAGGCAAATGAGAATATATATATAAAGTCACACAAAAAATAAAAGTTATAAATGTTCTCTAAGTGCTGAATCATTATTAATATCAGCTCGTTTGTTTGAAGTTAAACACAAAGCTACACAATGGGCTATCTGTGCTCTGCCCACCACGGGTATCGAATCCCGGTTTCTAGCGTTGTAAGTCCGCAGACATACCGCTGTGCCAATCAGTTAGTTCACTAAATAACACTTAAATTTTAAAAAATTATTTAAATTTTGAGTATCTATAAAATGTACATTTATAATCTTCAGTCTGGTTATTTCTGTACATTTTCGTTTTTAAAAACATTGCATTTGTTATTTCATGTCTAATTCTTATCTTTGAGTATTTTTTAAATTTTTGATAGAGTTGTCTAATTTTTCAAATTTTTTCACATAAAGTTAAAGAAAATAAAAATGGTATAATAACAATTAATAATGTGTCTTTATCTCTAATTTTGGGAAGACATGTTTTGTTTGTTTTGTTCTTATTTCAATATTTACTCAATTATGACTATTATTAGAGGAAACTTGAGTAAGACGGACATTTTAACATTGAATACGGTTTTCACCATTTAAGATCAATGCCAAGAATTTGAAAAATGTTTTAAAATGAATCAATTTTTATTATCAATTTCGTTTCTAATTAAACCAAATATTAGGCATAGTCCTTGTTCTTAAATATTGAAAAAAATCACTTTTTTGTGGATGGGGCCGCTTTACCTTTCATGTTGGATAAGACGGCCCCCAAACAGGGGGTGAAATAGCTCCATCTAACCCGAGGGTTCATAACACTTGCGTGGATGAAATCTGCCTATTTCAGTTAATTCCACTAAGGAAAAGAAAACATTTTTTTTAACGATGCATATAGTCATATATTTTTCGTCTTACTATCAACAATCAGTACTATACCCAACACAAAAAAGGCAAATTTACATTCTACAACTTAATATTAAACACTTCCCTACGGATGTAGTCAGCAATAACAATATTAGTGATTCATTAGCGGTGTTTGAAGGACTACTTCTCTGTATATTTCTACTGCTCTACCACTTCGATTGCTCCAGTGATTTACAATCCTCATCATCACCAGTGATATGAAACTATCATTTTCATTCTACAATCGTCTTATGAAGTATTTTAATGTATACCTTGTACACTAAATATAGGGTATCGACAGCCTGCATGTCAAAGCAATAACATAAAAATTAATGATTAAGGGCATACAAATAAAGAAAGTGAGCCAAAATTATGCGAAAAACCAGGAAACCGAGAGGATTGCCTGTTAATTCATGAAATCTGGAGATAGGTCTTAAGATCAAAGGGGAAAGGCAATCGTATTCTTTGAACATTCCCAGATCTACCTATGTTATGTTGTTGTATTGTAATCCTTAAATTCAAATTATTTAAAACACTGGAATAGACTGTCTTCTTATTTTGCAATTTGTTTTAAAGATAACACTGTTGTACTTGGTTGACCGTTTTCTCCTTTCTGACTTCATTTGCAAGTCAGACCAATTAATTTTACATTTTTATTGGGAGAGGAAATTGATTAAAGTTTCGGATATTATTTGGTTCGTTTAACTATCTTATGGCGATTGTGGGTTGTTTTGGTGGTATTAAGCACAAAGCTACACAATGGGCTATCTGTGCTTTGCCCACCACGGGTGTTGAAACACGATTTTGAGTGTCATAAGCCTTCAGACTTACCGTTGAGTCACTGAGGGGAAATTGCAGGTTGAATAAAAGTATTTAAGCAATGAAAATTATTCTGAATAAGCGAATAGATTTTCTTTAGGCACTGTAGTCTTTGTATGGCGATTAGAAATAAACATAATTTTCTTTCTCATACGTTGGATACGAGATCATTGTGGCCGATAAATGATCTTGTTAATAAAACAATATCTACCTCCTTCTATAACAGCTTCATTTACTATATGGCTCCACTATAGGTGCTTTGCAACACTATTATCATATGGCAAGTGAGAGTGACGGTAGTTTTGGGCAGTTCACGGTAACAACTTCAGTCGAGACATTCGGATGGACATCTTTTCCGCATGTGTTTAACTTAACTTAACGTCCTATGACTTCCATTGTTTTTGATCCTCCTATGGACTCTCTACGTATACAACAATATTTTTAAAGTAGCAAAACACAATTGGATTCATTTGTTTGTTTTGTAATTAAGCACAAAGCTACACAATGGGCTATCTGTGCTCTGCCCACCACGGGTATTAAAACCCGGATTCTAGCGTTGTAAGACCGCAGACATACAGCTGTGCCACTGGGGGGCAATTGGATTCGTAACACTTAACCTTCGTTTTACCGAACTCTTTCCCTGAAACTCTCTGAACAGTGGTGGAAGTGCATCGCATTTAACCAGAACAATGTCGAAAATGTGACATCTGGTTGTTTATATCCTTAATACTACTATAGTAGATATGTTTTTTGTGTTACTAAAAGAGTTCACCTCCATGATATAGAAACCCCCTTCTTGTATTCAGAGTTTTTTCATGAATAACTTAATATACTTCTTGAATACACTATATAATGTCACAGGAAATGGAAAGGACAGAATGATTAGACACATTTTTTATTTTATGACAGATGGCGCCACATTGCTAACAACGAAATCCAGTGAAAGAGTTAATAATAATAATACAAATAAATTGTCAATTATAACAAGTGAACAAGTTAACTAATATTAACTGTATCAAGGAACTTGCTTATGGATAGAACATATTCATAATTACATAAAATAAGTTTATATTATCTCAACACGTAGTTAGAGACAATGTCTTTTAGTACTGATGAAAACCATGGCGCGTTTTATCAATTCTACAAGAGAATGTAGCTTTCTTTGGTTAGGTTATTATTAAGCACAAAACTAAAAATGTGTTATCTATGCTTTACCCACCACTACAGGTACTAAGACCCAATTTTTAGCTTCGTAAGCCTGCAGAGTTACCGCTGAGACCCTAAGGGGCAAGCTATTTTTTTTATAACACTACGCTATTATTTTAGACAAAAATGTAAATCAATTTGTAGTTACTTCTGCACACAAACATAATGGTCTTGTTATGTCAGACAGGGTGTCCGGAAAGTCTGAAACTATAGGTGATTTGCAGGTTTTCTTAATTTCAGATACGTGACTGATTATGGTGTTGTCAAAGCATAAGAAAGTCGAGTTAATCCTGTTATAAATCCAAACTTATTTCGAATTTGAAGGAAAGTATGTGGAAAGCATTCTGTAAAATTCGTTGAAGTTCTTGTGGTTCTAGACTTTTCGGACACCCTGTTTTACAAGACAAAACTGAAACGAACAAACCGCCAGATAATTTCCAAACAAAAAAATATTTCACCAAAAAAAATAACGTCGCTCTTTACTCTGATTGATTGTTTATCTATATAACCACCATGATTATTTGGACTGAAGTATACAGAATGTAGAAGTTCTTCTACACCATATTGGTGGTTTTGACGAGGTAAAACAGTTTGATTAACATCATGTTAGTTTTTATTATTAACTTGTTGTGTCATGTGTCTATCAGTGCATATCTATGTTAATCCTAATTCATAGATCATGTTTGGGTTTTAAAGAAATCTTAGTAACTTTATTGAAACTACTTGTAGTTCAAGTATAAAACATCGTAGTTTTTGCCCTTTAGATAAATTTGCACAATTATGATAATCCTTAATATGTTTTTTGGAGGTATATTGTAAAGAACATAATTATATTTGATTATGTTTCATTTCACGATGTTTATTGTTACATTGCATTATTTGTTACATACTTGTCACATTAAATTACTAGGACTAAAAAATATTACAATGATCAGCATCACGGTAAGTGTTCAATATAATAATAATATATTTAGCAAAAATTTAGAAGCTAGGCTGAATTACTTCTACTAAGACAGTTTTTAATTATAAGTAAACTTTGGTCTTCATATTTATCATCCCGCTGCTAATCATTCATAACAAAACAATTCTTTTTTTCAACAATGTAACAAAACTCAGTATTTGTCGAACTACGTGACTGACTTCCTTTTTTTCTTTTTAAAGTTTTACATTCCATTAAAAAACTAAGTATAATCAACTTTCAACCAGAGGGAAGAGTAAAAAGAAAATCATTCGTATTTACAGTGAAGTTATATAGTCATCGTGGCCATTTGTGTACTTTTAAAGGCTGGACTTCAATTCTGATCCGTGATGATTGTATTCAACACGTTGTACGACTGCATGCTTTCCACTGCATTACAGAACAAGTTCATGCACTTCAAATTAAAAAAAAAAAATGAAAAGTTCGTGAGGACTGACCACCATTTCGTCAAATTACACTAATCCCAATGATATGATTAACTAATTTAACTTCAAACGTGCCTATTACCCGCTCATCATCTACTATATCATAAGAGGACGAGGCGTTATCATTCTGCTGTATTAACATCTATTTGGTATAATCAAGCGATGATTGAGTTTAAGCATGAGTACTCTAGTTCTCTGAGTTCTACTATGAAAACGAATCCTCTGTGTATTGGTAACAAATCTCTCTGAGACTTCAGAATCTTTGATGAAAGTTTTAATAAATTACTACTTGTAATGATAATATACTAAACTGTTCATGATGCATAAAAACATTTTTTTATCTTCTCAAGATAGACCTAGTAAGGCTAAAAAACGTAATGACATGAATGATCGTACAACTTAGTGATGCTTCACGACAAATAAAAGCGAAACAGTGGTGCGTATGTAGATAATATTTGTAATGTTTATATTGCACCATGTATTAATTAATTTATTACCATTTTCATATCAGTTTTATTCGTGGTTTTAACATCTTTAATATAAATATACGAATATATTATGTTTATTGAAATCATCTTATAACATCAAATACATCTATTTTGATAAGATCTTTGCATTTAGAAGATATAGTGTTTAGGATTTCTGCTAAAATAAACCTTGTTTAAGGTTCTAAAAGTTCAGAAGCCACAATGAATCTGACAGTACTGTTAGTTCTCCAACAAGTTTAGAAAGAAACCATTCAAATAAATGAAAGTTATGGATATCAAACTGTCCAAGTTATATCAGAAAATGTCATTGGTGTAAATTGTAATTATCAAATACTGATATAATAATATTTCTTTAGTTTCGTAACACCAGCGTATATTTACCACATCTGACAGCTTCACAACATCCATCTTTATAATTCCGTCGAACTTTCAAACTCGTTCTCATTTCATGCATATTGTTGAGCTAGACTTTTTCCACTTATTACTTCGGTCACTGTTACTTGATTGTAGACAGTGTGAAGTTAATGGTGCTGTTATGTTTTGTTTTAGCGCAAATCTTAGCCAGTGGCTATCTGCGATCTCTCCACCGCAAGGAATCAAATGTCAGATTTTGGCTTTGGAAGTCAACGAACGTACATAGGGGACGTGGAGTTAATGTAAATAATGTTTTTAAAAGGCTTTAAGTTAAAAGAACAAATTGTGTTGTTACGTAAGCTTTGATTAAACCATGCTTATAAGCTACTTCTGGCATTTTTTGT